CCTCAAAGGAATGAGGCTGAAATGTGAAGCTGTCATTACAGGTGATCTAAGAAAAAAAAAATGGCAAAACTGCTTTCTCTGTACACTCCGTTTCTTTCCATTTGAGGTCCCATGGACCCTCCTTTCTTGTGTGTGTGTCTATGGTGGGACAGAGAATGGACTGAGTTAGAGCAACACAGGGTCACAGTGGGTTACAACATTTTGTGGCTCCTGGAGAAGAGAAGGTCCCCTGGGAAAGACATAGCAGCAGGCCCAGGTTCCTGCCAGGAGGTTGTTGAGTAGAGAGAGCTAGGCTGTTCACAGCAGAACATGGTGGAGGATGAGGGGCAAGAGGCACATGAGGTTCAGACTAGATACAAGGAAAAGTTTTTCATGGTGTGGACATCCGAGCAGTGAAATGGGCTGTCCAGAGACTGCAGCTTTCATCCTTGAAGATTTTCAAGACTGGAACAGATAAAAGCCTGAGCAACCTGGTCTGATCTCAGAGCTGACCTTGCCTGGAGCATCAGGTTGACTTGTGAGGTCCTTTCCAACCTGAATTATCCAGTGATCTTGTGATCTCATAGAACTTGCCAGCAGGTATTAGGGAATCAAAGAAAGGTTATACACAAAAAGCCTACAGATAATTATGGGATTATCCTGTCTTTAGGAAAGATTTCTTCCTAACTCTTAGAGTTGGCCAAACATCACCCTGAAGTGTGATTCAGCATTAGCTTCTACATATAAGAAGGAAACTTACCATTCTCACTGCAGATCTCCATTAATGAAAGTAAAACCTTTGCTGCAAAACAGATAAAGCTTATGATTGACATATTCATACAAGGCTTTCCAATACTAGACTCTGAAATTCACCTCTAAAAAGCTACAAGAAAGTAGCTTATCTTTAGGAATGGAATTTTCAAATGTTCAGAACATTTGAAAAAAATGAGGTCTCTTTCATCTAAGTGCACAGATATGCAATTTGAAACAAATTTTAGGCACCCAGATTTGAAAACTCTGACTTTGTCTAATTCTGCATTACACGCAGCAGATAATTTTTGATAATCAACATAAAAATATCAAAGTCAATGACTTTTCTGAATATAGTGAGAAGATATTAACTGAAAGAATGCATTAAAATGTAGATGAACAAATGCACTCTTAGCTAATATAGGATGTGGCCAGGGAATACAGCAGTTCCCACCCACTCATCCCCTTAAAACTGAAAAGCATTTTGATCATCAAAATACGTTGTGATGCGTATCTGCAATATAATCATTCCCAACACTAAATAATCATGTGAATACAACAGAGCACTAGGTAACAGAAAACTGACTCTCTTTAGTATTTGTGAAGCAGCTTCTCAGCTTCTATAAATTGATCTTTAAGTTCGTACTAATTGTTAATGGATGTATAGCATATAATGATAGGGAAGCAGGGCTATGCCAGACTTTAGGGATCGAGACTTAGTTACTAAACCAATAAGCAGGGCCTTTTCAGAGGTACATAAGCACCGTAATTCTACAAGCTGCAATTCTCTTCGAACCATTTAATGAACTGTGTAAGGAAGCACAGAGAATAATTGGAAGAAAGCAAAGTTCCCATCTACAATTACAAGAGCTGCCTGCCACAGTGAGAATGTGACTTCAACAATTCTGACTAAATAATAACAATTTTGGCTGCCCTTGCAATACCCCATAGGACCCAGCCTCCAAGACTGATATTACCAGCTGAAAACACTTGTAAGACTCAGCTAGTGATGAACACAACTTTCCATGTTGCTAAGGCTTGCAGCCACAAGAGTTTATGAAGCCCGTATCTTCTGCCTGTGATCTCCCAAATATTTGCCAGAATTTCACAAATACCACACAAGAACACGGACAAAATGGACAAAAACATGCCTGCGTGCTGTGCTGGCACACTAAGAAGTTCAGTGGCAGTAACAAGGGCAAACAGAGTGGGACAGCAGCACCCCACACTCATGGTTCTTTCTCCTGAAAACAAGCTAATACTCATAGACCAGGGAGCTGTGCAGAGCTCCCTTCCCAAAGCCCATAAACTTGCCACGTGGGTGGACCCAAGTTAAGCAGAAGACACCCATAGTGCCCCCAGCCTTCTACTGTTGAATACCAGTCCAGTTGGCAGATGTTAGTGATGATGATAAAAAAAAAAAAAAAAAAAAAAACTGTTCGGAAACAAGAGCAGCAACTTTGCTCATAGCATAGTATATCTTGTTATTCCCCCTCTGTAACTGATGTGTTCTTGTATTTAACCAGGCAACTTCTAATAAGTTCAGATGTTTTGGAATAAGCTTCTGAAGTACCTGTCTCCCAGTGAAATCTACCATTCCTGGGCATCAGATGCTTGTTAACATGAGCTAATTCCTTAGGAAAGGCACCTCCAAAAACATCTCCAGACTGGGACATCAAATACCTGATTTTATTAAGCAGCATATGATTTATGGATCAATTTTAAGAGAGATTTTTCTTAAAATAAGGTAGCATCTATTAATATCAAACATTAGTTCATGCTTTGCATAATTTATACTGCAATACCCTCTTGTGGTCAAATAAAAAGGATTTATCTAAAAAACAACTGAACATTTTTCTTCCATATAAAGTCTTCCTAAAAATTATTTCCTTCAAGGAGAACAGGTAACTCTCAAACAATTTCTCACAGATGAGTTCGTAGTTGATATCATTACTTGTCCGGCAGTAACAAAACAATAACCTCTGTTTTTCAGAATGACGGGCACTGACACTGCTAGTCAGATAAACTAATCCTTAAACAAAATCCTAAGCAAAAACACTGTCTCCTGCAGTGATGCTCAGAAAATAAAAAAGTTCATGTCCCCAAACATAAAAAATAAAGACACTATAAGCAGTTTACATAGATACATATGGCATCATGTCACAATAATCAGCAATCTGTTCTAATAAGGGATAGACGTACATGTCCAGGGAATGAGCTGTCTGCTTAGATGTGCCAGGTTATTGTAAAGAACAAATAAAATCACAAACTGGCACACAGCAGCACAAAGAGAAACAGCATAATGCCTGTAGGAGTTCTGCTGATCTACTAATCTGTTAAATAGCATAAATGGGCCACAGGTGTATCCACTAAGGAATCTAGAGCAGTGGTCAGAAACCTCACCCTTTCATTCACCTTGATCTGCTCTACTGGTGTGTAACCATTCCTTTAATGACTTCTGTTCCCAATGGATAATGGGATATTTTAAAAGTATTGTTTTTTAATGGTCTGTTTTTGGAAGAGCAGATGCTTTAAAATAATATTTTTATTAATTTTTTAAAAACTCCTTTATTTAAGGAGTCATGAACCTATTCCCAGCTTTTATTTCCAGAGGAACATCTGGAACAAATGAAGCATACAATCCCTGAACATAGAGTTGTATCTTCCATTTGTTTAAAGCTCAAAGTCTGCCGCTGGTAGATCAAACGTGGCCCGCTTCCCATCCGGATTCATTGCCCATCAGGAGTATAAAATCCACCATGCATTAATTAATGCATTGAATTTCCCCAGCATGCGTCAGCTTCCTTGTAAAGCCATCAGGTGCCAATATAACCCCTTCTAGCAACCAGCTATGTGTGCTCCAGCTTGGAGAGGACTCCAGTACCACAGCAGAAGGATAAGCAAATTGCACAGGAGGATTAGAGTCAGCTATCAGGCTGGCAAACAGCTCATTTCATCAGTCTGTTACAGTGCTATATGAATGCAGCAGTTTCTTTTTCATTTTTTTGGCTGAATGGATCGAAAACGTTGGTTAATTTTAATTATCTCAGAAAAACAAGCAAACAAACAAAAGGCCGACTGAAATTTCATTCAAGCTCAAACCAAACATTTTGTTTCAATTTGGAGGTTTTTTTCTTACCCCTTCATAAGTTGGAGGCATTTCCAATTTGCAAAGTCAAAATTGATTTTCAAAACAAAACTTTGTGTTCAAAAATGTCTACATGAAATGCTTTGCTCAGAATTATTTGATAAGAAATTATTTGCCAAATCAGCAGGTATTTCTAAATACTCCAAACAAACTTGCCAAAAGAGCCTTCAAACTCAGACTAGCATTCACCAGCGTTTACCAGGAAGATGAGGCAAGAGTCTAGAATTCATCTGGAGCTAATCCACAGTGTTCGAAAACAAGTCAGTTAGGAATTTAAGAGGAAATTTATATTTAAAATAGCCCAACTTCCTGAGAGTTCAGAAATACTGAAGAAGGAAGTGACTTCATACCACAAAAGCCAGGCAGCCTGAATGTAAAGACAAACACTGACATTTCGGCCACTCTTTTGACAATTCTCACTTTGTGTCCTAATAACCCTTTAAAGTTTCCCAACACCTACTTCTCCTGGTTGCTTAAGGTCCTTTCCAGATATCTCTAAGTGCTTAAAAAAGGGCTCTTAATGATCTCAGGCTGCTCCTTTTGTATGATCTGAAATTAAGGAGCTTTCAAAGCACGTTTGAATTAAGGTACCTTACTCTAAGCAAACAAGCTGTGCCCCAGCAGAGGTCAGGGCTGCAGCAGCTGTCCCCGCTGGATGTCTGCTCCCTTTCTGGGGAATATTCACGGGTCAGGCTTGTTTCCAATGGAGACAGTAAACACACCAGGGAAAGCAGCAGCTTTCAGGGGGTTTTGCTTGGGATGCAGAAGTGTTAACAAAGCCTCCTGGCACAGTGGCAGCGCTCCGGCTTTGCTCTGTGGGGCTCTTTGCACATGAGGTGGCCCCAGCTGCAGAGGTTTGCTGACCACTGCTGCAACCCAGTGGTTTGGGGCGATTGCTCCTCGCGGAGATTCCTTCAGCGTTCGGCAAGGGAGCAGCAGAAACCACTGGGAAATGCTGGATGGACAAAAGAAAGCAGAAGAGGGCAGAGCTTTGCGTGCATCCAGCAGTGCTGAGGGTGTGCTGGGTTTGGACGTGGACAGGATGGGAAGCGGTCATGGACTAAGCAGAGCTCCTCTGGCCAGGTCGCAGGCGCCGGGGGTGGCTCACAGCAGGGATGCAGCCATGGGACGTGCCGGCCGCGCTGCCACCTCGAGAGCCCATGCGCAGCCCGCGCCGCAGCTGAGCCCCGTGCAAGGGGATCGGGTCTGGAGAGAGCTGGTGGAGGCCGAACGGCGAGGCAGGAAAAGCTGGTGAGTAGCTTGTCGCAGTTCACCTCTGCTCATGTTGACCAGGCAGCGGTGCCCCTTGGCCGTGCCAGGGCCTGATCTAAAGCCTGTGCTGGCAGGGGGAAGTCTGCTGCTGCTTAGGCTTGGGTGAGCCCCTAGCATCTTTCTGGCTAAGGTTACATCGTCTCTGTTTCCCTTTGCTTGACAACATCCGTGCTAATACAGAACCTCCTGGCACACTAGGCTTAAGCTGAAATGCAGATGCAAAGAACTGAATGCTCAGTATCTCTTAGCTTTATAGAGATATCCTCAGCAAGGATATAAATGTGCCAACCTTCCTAATTTATTGCAGACACACTGATACTATCACCTCTTTTCTCATTCTTGGAAATGGCTGAGGTCTAAGTTGGACAGAGTGTTCTGCCAAAAAATTATTTTGCATTTCCAATCTGCACATCTCATGAGCACGTCCGACAAGCAGGCAGGAAAATCCCACTGTTGCTGGTGTATCCACAGACTGAACTGCATACGCACGAGCTGAGCTTTGCCTGAGCTTTTGAGTCACAGCAGAGAGCTGAAGGAACCCATTCAGATCTTCTCTTCCTTTGTCACATAAACGTGTGACAAACTTTATGTTCACAGTTCCGTACGCAACATGAGTGTGCCTAGCAGAAGAATAAACTAACACCAGCTCCAGTTGTGACTACACACCAGCCAAGCAGATAAAAGGAAAGGGAGGAGAAAGAAACAGTTTCCTTTATGGGACTGTTTAGGAAAAAGAAATCTTCTAGAAACCCCTTGTCCTCCTCTGCCTTCAAGAGGAGGCACAAATCACAGCTCTCACTTCCCCACAGACATTTTTACCATCCCGCCTGGTTTTGCCTTGTGGAAAGGTTGAAATCAGGACTCAAAGCCAGGGCTGTTGCAGAATTTAGAGACTGTCTCCCCGTTGTGCCCCAGACCCAGCAGGCCGGGCTCATTCACAGCAAAGGCAGTGAAGTCCTGCCCAACGGGGCTCGTAATGCTGGATATTAATGCAAACCCACTTGCATGGGTAGTTAAGCTAACACATTGCACAGCTGATGCCCGTCCTGTTTGCCCTTGTCAGCTATGAAGGCAGGATACTCTTGTAAAAGACCAGACAGACGTGCAAGGGACTGGTGCGACAAATCGCAGGATTCAGCCGATTCCTGGGATACAACCTGAGGAGAACTGCCCTTCAGCTCCACATCCCTATCCCAGACATGAGGACGAGGACAGGCTGCTACGTGTTAACAGCCTGACAATGAAACATGCGTATAGAGGAGGGGCAGACACCCATATATTTGTCAATAATTAGCATCATGTACTAACACTGAAAACTGATATGTTAGTGCCTGGCACAGTGAGATAAACCAATTTGGGACCACTATGCGCACAGATATACCAAGACATAACATAAAACACAATAATAAATTAGCTTTTATTTGCACTTAGGGCATATCTGCACTGGACAGGGGGCACAGCACAAATCCAGTGGCCACCAGGCCCACATGGTTTAACACAGTGCTGCACCTGCTGACCAGCTCAGCTTCCACCCTCAGCACCACGTCTATAAGCTCAGCTGCAGAAGTGCATAAATACAGCTAACCAGCTCAGAGCATCCAGCTCTGATCTTTGGTGCAAATATGTCTTGAAGTAACCCTTTTCTCTACTGGCCTTCACCTGCTTCATTAAAAACACTAATTTAGAAGGGGTTCAATATGAGGATAAAGAAAACCCTCAAGTTCATCATAGAAAGGGCAGGTTTCACTACCAAGAGTTTGCAGGCTTAAGAGGCCGTAAGTATGAAATGGAACATTTAATTGCACTTTCAAATGTGAGCAACATTATTTACTTTATTTAATGTCAGAAAACATATATTTGCATTTTTCACTTCTATTCAAGGTACCAGAACTGGAGCTTCCTAAAGGACTATGACCAATTGGTAAGTTCCAAACAAACAGGTAACTGTAAGTCAGGCTTCTTCTGGTCTCTATCAGTTTAAAGAAGGTTTACATTTTAAATGGCAGAGTTTGTCAAATCGTTTAAGACAAAATCTTTAGAAAATGCTTTATGATAACATTCATCTGCTGCCCACACGACAGAGAACATGTGAATATATTCAATCTGTTTCAGTAATAAGCAATTACATAGAAAGGGAAGCGCTAGAAGAACCAGCTTCCTAAAAACAGTTTTATAGGATAATGTCATCAGGCTAAAACCCAAGTCACTTACTAAAAATAAAACAAATGAAAACCTCTCACATCATGACCATTCTGGAGCAGTTAAATTCTGACTCAGTTGTGATTTTACATAGTATAGTTGAAAATGATTCCTTGTCTGTGTTACCCTACCCCCATGAAAAAAGCCTGGGGAAAAATCTTCTCACTGTATTTCTGCAACATCGTCATGTATATCCAGTAAAACGGTATCTAAAATCTCAATCTCTCATGAAGAACAATAGTGTTGATACTAGTAGTAATCACAAAAACTTGTGTTTTTAACATGTGGTCAGTGTAATTCTGAAAACTTTAGCATTAACAGTGTTTGGTTTATCCAGGGTAGGAAAAAGGAGCAGAAGCCACTGCCAAACTACGTGCCTGTGTTTTCAGACATAGTTCCCAACTGCACCAACCAGGTAATTGGCAGTCGAATGAATACTGAGCTTGGTAAGACCTTGGCAAACATGGATTACTTCTCCAGCAGCGGTAGACGAAAGCAGAAACTTGAAGATGAGCTCCTGCCTTCCTAGTGTTTAACTGAAAATACCAGTAACAGCAAGTTCTAGCTAACAGGCTTCTTTCAGACTCCACAGCATTGAAGACAGCAGGTAAAAACATCTTCAATCTTTTACATGGAGACTAATATTACTGCTGAGCATGGAAGCTTTTCAAGAGCAAAGATGGATATTCTCCAGAAATGCTTTATGATCCTCCTTATATTTGACACAAGCAGGCCATATACATAGTTAAGATCACAGATCTCACTCATCTTCTACTGCAAGTCTACAGTAACTTTGTCACCAACCTCATAAAAAACATCAGAGCCAAACCACAACCTCTTCTTGAATTTTTACCTACTTGAACCAAAGCAATTAACGGAGACCAGCTCAGATGAGTCACAACATAAGCGACGTGCTTCCAGTTCTGAAAGCGAGTGCAATAAAGCACAGCAGGTTGTTGCATTTCACGTAGCTAACCAAGAATTCATCGCAACATCTGTCTCTGCATGCTTACGCTTGCTCTGAAGAGCAAAAGCTAAGGCACGTGAGACATGTTGTGAGCTTTTTTACCACTTCCTCACAAGGGATGTGGAGCACATTTTTTCCATGTTATTTTTCATTTTCATGTTTTTAAATTTCCTATTTCTGCTCTACTCTCTGAAACTCCCTTCCTCCTACTCAGCTTTTCAGGTTTAGCTGATGAAAATGCAATGATAAGGAGACAGGCTTTTACATTTTAACAGGTTCATCCTTCCTAAAACCTGTAGTTGCCCAGGGAAACCATCATCATGCTAAATTGGACACAGCTCCTACAGTTTGTTCACTACTGCATCTTCATGACACAGATGCAGACTTTGTTTATGGCCTTACATTTTGTAGGGGGAAAAAAAAGAAGTAATCAACAGAACAAGGAGTATATAAATACAATGTCTGCCTTTCGAAACATTCAGCTTTTTTAAGACCATCATCAGTCCTAGGTGAAGATCAGCCCAGATGATCAGCAGTGCCCCATTGCAGCAGGCTGCAACTTCTTGCCCCATTGGAGGGGACACATATTCCACTATGCTTCTGTAGCTGAGACTGTCTATTTCTGAGGTCAGACTTCAGCAGCACAAGGCAGTCCAAAAGCACTGAGCGTGATGTAGAACAGTGGGATCCAGGTGGTCTCTAGAAAAAAAAAAAAATGCTGTTGAGAGAAGTGTCAGATCCCACTTGTTGAGGTGATGGCACTAAACAGTCCTCATGGCCTGCTCAAGGCAGGGAGAACTGGAGGGCAAAGGCTTTTGGAACGACAGCTAAGCTGCCCAGGGGAGCACTGACTCTGTGTTCCCCTGTGCAGATGCAGATCTCCAATTGCAGTAGATAACTGTGTCCAGATGCACAAAACGGGAAGCTACATGTTTAAATAGGCCTCTTTTTTTCAGCTAAAACATTTTCTGCTCTCTCCTGAGACCAGAAAACTGCACCAGGAACTGCTTTATCTCCAAACATATGAGCAAGGAAGAGACCAGTGCAAGCCTTTACCTCCTTGCTGTGTTATCCAGAGCTTTTTCCAAAAAATTGCACACGTTATTTAGAGGCCACTTATAACATTGAAAGGTACTGTGCTTATTCTGCCCTATTCCGAGATAATACTAACCAGCCTCAACTCTTGCTAAGGGCTCACGAACTCTATACCAAAAGGCAGATGCACAATTATCCATCAGGCTCAAACTCCTATTCATGATAAGTGGGAATATCTGATTTCTACAGCTTGGAGATTTTGTTGCTCAGCATGAAAGCATGTGAAGCATCTTCCTTCCTAACCTCCAGGTGGCAGCCACTCCACACCAAGTCATCTGCTGGAAGGGACACTAAATTACAGCAAGGCCGTGTTACACAATTCCCTCCTGATGTTAAGTGATATTAAATAGTTCCAGATTCTCGATTCTTGTTTGCTCTCCTGGAGAACTGCTCCAAAATGGAGTGCACGGGAAGGTAGGCAGCCTAAGTGGTGCATGATTTAACCCTCGGTCAAACCCATGTCACCGAGCACTGGCAGTGTTTCAGCTGAAGCACTTTTCCCAATTCTGCGCAGGATGCAGAAGGTCTTGGCCTGAAGATGTGAGACAAACAAGAGCAGAAAGGATCAATCATGGTAACTGCAGTCCTGGAAAATATGGTCTATGAGGAAAGAGAAAACAAAATAAGGTAGTTTAACCTCAAGAAGACTGGGAATAGGTACTTCATATGCATGGAAGACGACAGTAAAAATAACTAGTTCTAAATTACAGCAAAGCAGCAGCACGTTAGATATCAGAGAAGGCAGCAGTAAAGACAACGCAGCACTGGGACGCGCTCCCTGAGGAGTCTCCATCCTTGGAGGTCAGACAAACACATCCATCAGGAGCGGCGTATTGAATGGGGCCTGCCTTTCAGTGAATGAGCAGGATGGCTGGCCGCAGCATTTCACATCAATTCTCTCATTTATACTAGAGTTGCTGAGATCAGAACACGCTTTTAAAATACTTTTTATAGCGATCAAAAATAACTGCAAGAAAAAAACATTTTTCCATTAGACTAGGTTTAAATAGATTGCGGGTCTAAAATAAAGATTAATCACATTTCTTTTTGTAGAAATCATACTTCTTGTTCTTGCCTACTTGCAAAGAAAATGCGTCATACAAAACCCAGCTGTGCCATTTTTATTCACACTGAAGTCCAGCATGTATCTGAGAAGCCTGGCTAGTGCCCTCCCGGCAGCCACATGGGAATGGGTCTGAAAGAGCCGAATCACAAAAGGATTTTCAGCTTGATCATTGGCCAACCTTGGAAAAAAGTCTATCTGTGCTTTGCGGCAAGATCACATTAAACCCAGAACTCTGCTGCCTCTTCTGAGGTGAATTTAAGCTAATACCTTGGCTTTCTGATTAAGCAACTTGAAGTGGCTTAAAAATGCTGGTGGGCAGCAACTCGAGCTCTTTTCACCCAGGTCACAAAGCCCCTGTGCATTGGTGTTTCTTGCCGAAATCAGTAACAACCTCAAGCACTGACATCTTAACAGTTTTCTTTGAGGATAGTGACTCTCTAGAGAATGAAAGTTTCCCAGATGGGAGCACTATGCAGAGCTGGTCTGTAATAATAATTAATAATTGATAATAACAATTATCAATTATTATGCCTTCCTTAAGATGTCCAAGTATTTTATACTGCTTCAGTTACACCTCCTCTGCCACCCAGCCTGGTGTTTCTGAAGTTATTTGGCTCTGCACAGCAACTCCAGAACAGATATTTGGGGAGCATCTGAGGTCCTGCCCAAAACTGCCTCAGGACCCGAGAGGAGGAGGCAGACAGGCATTTTCCACTCACTACATTTCATCCCTAAGTCTAACTATCATTTATCTTTCACCATAATTAACTTTGCCGACTAATCCTTGCTTACATGATCGGAGTCTCATGGAAAGACAAGATGAAATTATAAGAGCTTTGAAATCTGTAACTGATCAGTGGAAATTCCATTTATTAAAGAGACTGTGTAGATGTTAGCTGTACTGTAAGCTTCTTGTAAAGAGTTCTTGGGACATGTCACTCACGCTTTATAGTTTTATAAGCTTTCTTTTTCATTTGCTGCCAGATCACAAACAGGAGATTTAGACAATTTAGACAATTTATTCTTAATCCTTCTTCCAATTAAAGAGCAGAAGTGGGTGAGAATACTACTCTAATCCTTCAGTTAGGTACAGTGGTGGATTTATAAGTATTATTAATTCTAACTGGGTGCAAAGATGTTTCCAGTGCCTTCAAATTTTGTGCATTCTCATTTCAAGCTCCATATAAAAAAAAAGTGTGAAAGACACTGTTGTAACAAAACATAGTCTGTGTAAGTTCATACAAATATATATTTCTTATATTTTTACAGTAGTCTCTGTATGCAGTTTCCAAAAGGCATCTTAACAAACAGATTTTGTTTTATGAAACTGGTGATGATTGAGCACCCAGTTTTGTGTCTTGGAAACTGTACTTAAAATTGTTTCTTGGCCTTTAAATTATGATACAATAAACAAAAAAAAAAGATTTTTTTTCTGCAGAGAGTTGCTCATCATGCTCTGAAAATTTTTGCATAAACAGTAAGATTGTTGCAATAGAGAAGTGAGAGGACAATTATGTATTGAGTTACGTGGACAATACAGGCCAGCCACAGGCTTGATGTTTGTGTGTATTATATACAGACGTTCGCTTTCTGTAAAGAACACTATGTAGAACAAAAAGTTCTGAACTGACATTCATCTTAAAGCAGGCAGTTCTCCTGATCACAAGAAAATGTTTTTTGTTTTGTTTTGCTTTTTGTTCTGTTGATTTCAAAACAAATCAAAGAAAAAACCCACAACCAGCTGGGCCTCAGGCTGCTGAATTGTGTCCAGATAGAAACAGGGAAAACTCCCTTTAAAAACATGCCTACCTTAGAAAGTCTGCTTGCTAATCTGAATCCATATCAGCTATGCTTCTCCCTCCTCAGAAACCTTGTGTTTGGGTCGACGAATTCCTTGAAACCCAGATGCTTCTCTAAGAAACTCAAATGCTGCAGGGGCGCTTGCGTAGTTCTGCAAATTGCAGCCCTCAGTCAGCGACGCACAGATGCCACAGGCTGAGTTCATCTTGCAGCCTTCTCAAAGCCGCTCTCAGAAGTTACGTGCAGCCACAAAACCACTAGTGCTTAGAGACGGGATTTCCAAGTATCTGGGGTTAAAGCCTCACCTCAGCACAACACCTCTATGCCAGCTTGACAGAGCCAGCACTGCTGTAAATGTCTCTTCTCGGAATCTCCCTTCCTCTGGCTTCCAGGGCAAAGTCAAGAGAAAACTCTCCATTGGCATAAATTGAGTGATATATTGCATTAAAAAGTAACATGCAAATATATATACGACTGCTATAAAAAACCTGCTCTACTCAGCAGTAAGGAACGAAGTGAGGAGACCTGGGGTTACTCCATGACTTTGGCCTGCTCATCTCTTCCCTGTTTCTCTTTTTCCTATCTACTTGTCCTATTATCCTCATTGGATTTATTTTTTATAATCCATGAAATAACAAATGCATACACGCAATAATGAGTTTTAATTACAGATATTGCTGCAAATGAGAAACATTAAACTCACAATATTTTGAATAACCATCTGCAACCATCACCACGTCCGTTGTCCAGCAAGGCCCCTGCCCTGCTGCTCCCTCACGCTCAGTTCCCAGCTCCCTGTCCCTCAGGGGCCCTTGCTGCTTCCTGACACACACTACCAATCCCCATAGGACCACTCAGTTGCTTTTGACTGAAAAATATGAAGGCCATGGGGGAAAAACAGTTCACGGGGGTGTAGTTGCCGCTGTAGTGTAGTGCTGGCAGATTTACTTCCATGCTATGGGAGAATCCAGAGACCTCCAGCTAGAATGCAGGAGGCTTCTCATACTGAGAGTTTAATAAACTGCCAAATTTACTCACTTTTACTGGAGACTATTTGAGTAGCTCTGAGGTAAACATGGATCCAGAAATCAGCTCTAGATGTAACTCAACCCTGTCCCCTGGTTTCCTGAAATACAGTTTCTACATAAAAGGGATAATTCCAAAGTTAACAAGGAAATGAATTTAAGAAGATTCAATACAAGTTACTGAAAGTATGTTCCTTACTTTTTCCTTCTACTTTTTCTTTTCTTTTCTTTTCTTTCCTTTTCTTTTTTTTTTCTTTTTTGACTTTCCTAGGTTTTGAGTCAGGTTTAAGTGTCTTTTTTTCTGGTGTTTTAGGTTCTTTCAGTGCTACTTTTTAGCTAACCATATTATTTTAGATAACATGCCAAAACCCAGAAGGGCCTCAGTTAAATTCCTCTTCCGAAACTGAATAAGCTATTGCACAGAGCAAATACTGAGTCAACAATTTGTATTTCTGCTTACAGTACTTTCGTTCAATTTGAGATTCTCCTACTCAGCCTAACAACCAGTAAGCCTTACATAAACAGCCAAATTCTCCATTTGCCACAAAAATATATAACATTTTGTACACAAACTCAATATCTATATCCAGCCTCCAAAGTTTCTGTTACATTCCCATCACACACATTTGTACAACATAACCTCAAACGCATGACACAAACAGGAATGAGAGTAGCAATAGCCAGAAGAGATCTCCGATTGCCCCTAGTCCACCCCCCTGCTCCAAACTAGGCCGATGCCAACAGATCAGAATTGCTCATTCTACTCGGTTCTTGATCTTTCCAAAATTGGAGATTTTGTTACCCCCCCAGGCCGCAGTTCCAGTCTTCCATGCATGGTCTCCAATGTGTTGAAAGGAAGGGAAGGATGACTTGCCCAGGGTGTAAAACCATCTTTTTTTGAAAATAGGCCACAATGCTTTCTACATGCTTTTATTAAACTTAATAAGGTTTCTGTGAGCCCACTTTTTCAGCTTGCCACGATGCCTCCGAGCTGCAGTGCTACTGCCCAGTGTGGTGACAGCCACCTGCAATTCGGTTTCACCTGCACATTTGCTGAGAGCACTCCGCTCCATCATCTCAGTTCTTAATGAAGAACATGGAACGGCTACAACTCCTGCAGCAGCCCCTGAGAAACAGCACCCACCATTTGGCCACCCATTGCATCGTAACCAGCTCCCCACTCACTGTTCACAGCATCACAGAATGAAATCACCTCACATGGAGGTGGAACTTCCTGTGTTTCAATTTATACCCATTACCCCTTGTCCTGTCACTGGCCACCACCGGGAAGAGTTTGGCCCCATCCTCCCTATTCTCTGAGCCCTGCTGTTCACTCAGCCACCAACACTTTCTGTAGCTCACCCTTTCCATCCATAGCTCCCCGGTTCCACTGCAGGGATGCCGTGTGAGAAGTTGTCAAAGGCTTTGCTGAAGTCCAGGTAAATGGCATCCACTGCTCTCTCCTCATCCATCATGTTCACCCTCTCAGCCCAGACAATCTGGTTGGTCAGGCACAATTTGCCCTTGTTAAATCCAAGCTGGCTATTCCCAATTAACTTCTTTTTCCATATTCCCAATCACCTTCTTTTTCCGTAATCTTTCTGGGAAGCAAGGGTAGGCTGGCCAGCCTGTAGCTCTCTGAGTCCTCCTTCTTGCCAACAGTCATGCTGTTTGCCTTTTTCCAATCATCAGAAAATATTCTCTTATTAACCACAACTTTCCAAAGGTGATGAAGAGTGACCTTGCAATTATGTCAACCAGCTCCTTTAGCACCTTCTGATGTTTCCCACTTGGTCTCAAGGACCAGATTTGCTTCCATATTCCCTAATTTTGTCTTCTTCTATTGTCAGTAATATTTCACACCCTCAGATTCCGCCACTAGGACCCAACATGCCCATGATCAGACCTTGCTAGTAAAGATTGAAAGAGAAAAAAAAAAAAAAAAAAGTGGTGTCCCCACTTATCCCAGCCCATCGGATCTCAACTGGCTTGTTCTTTGCTCCAAAGCAGGGCAAAATTCTGTGCAAATGCAACATGCTCATGTAAGCTATCCCACGTCTCCATGATCCCTGTGCACTGGCTTCAAATTCCTCCCATGTGTTTCCTGAGCCGTGTCTTCATACAAAGTGACACCACCTTCGTGGGGCAACTAGGCAAGCAGCCTGATGGTCCCCGGCCAATTCCCCCATTTCCAGTCTTCCTCCAGTCCTCTGGGAGGTCACTTCCACTTCCACTGTTTCCCAAAGTTGTGGAGCTTCCTTTATTTTAACCCAGAGCCTAAAGCACAGATTATTTTTAATATTCCCTGTCAGTGTAGTGGGGTGGGGAAATTTGAACACTCCCTGCATTCCTTGGAAAAGGCACAAAATTCATGGCATTATTTGCTTGAAACCTCAGTTATGATAAGCCAACATCATTACTAAAACATAACATTTTGCCTTTTTCATGCTAGTTATTGCAGAAAGTTTTTTTTTTTTTGATAGGAATCAACATTTGCATTCCTATTTGAAATGTGGCAGTGTTAAACCACAGCCCATCTGCTGCAAAACAGGCAATCTGCATTTAAGATTAGAGGAATGTAATGAAATTGTTCACCAAAATGTAATTTAAAGGGCAAGTATTTTGTTTCAACTTAAAGAGTCAGAAATTTGATATAAAACTGAATATTTTAAACAAAATAGCAAGGATTTCTGATTAACAGATGTTAAAAAATAATATACAAAAAGCATTTTGATTTATGTCATATCCTGAAACAGGGCTATCCAGCACTGTGATGCCTGTTATTTTCCTAATATGCTCTTTGAATAAAAATGACCAGTAAGCAGACATAGACCATTATCATCATATGCACAGGACATACACACATGTCAATTTCGTCATATACAAGGACAGTAAATCCTTGTATACTGGACAGTTTAGCAAAACTTTGCTAAACTGCTTGCTTGCAATGCAAAGAAGGATATATTTTTAAAAGCTATAGTGCTGATTAAATGTAGAAATTGTAAATTTAAAAATAAAAATAAGCTTGTGGAGGTGTGTAATAGCTTTAGTTCAATTTAGGTTGTTGATTATTTCAAAAAAATGTCTACAAGGCAGTGCATATTACTGATATTTTACAGCATTGTTTATCTGTATCTCCATAGTAATGCAGATAATGCCCACCCTACCTTTCCTATTTCCCTGTTCGTCTCAGACTACCTGAAATGTCAAACACCTCTATACCACAGGCCTGGTTTTAAGTGATAACTTCATCTTATGTGCTGGGTTATTCAACTGGTTTTCAAGTACATAGTATTCCTGCAAGGCTGAGAACTCAGTTCATCAAAAACATCATGGAATAGTTACTATTCTGATATAATTCATTATTTCCTTTCTTTTAGAGTTGTTTTTGAACACTGTAATGTTTTTAATGTATTTATTAAGCATTAAGTTTATTAAAATTAATATATTTATTAAAACAGACTTACATTTCTAAAATTAGAATTATATTTTTTTTCATAGCTTTTAGTCAGAATTTTGAGATTTTATGTACTACCAGGTACCAGCTTCTTTTATGAGTGAATTCAACTGACAGCAACTTGATTTATAAATAAAGCATTAATAATGTTACTGTTTTAAAATGACACTAACAGTAAAGGAATTAATGCAATAAAACAGTTTGTCCAAACACACTATGAAAATAATGGAAAATAATTTGCAACAGATGCAAAATTGATGAAACTGTACTGGATAAGAGTTATTAGTAGTGAAATATAAACAAACCTCTTGTAAGAATGAACTAGGAAGAATTTTTGTTTTTTTGGCCTGCAAATAATCATTAACACCAAAGAAATATGGCCTGGCTAAAAATCTGAATTAATGAAAAACATTTAAGCCCCGGGGACTCAAAACACAGGCACAAGAGAGCAAGGCGCTGCATCTAAGTGTGCGATCAGCACAAACGCACATTCCCCGCAGAACGGCCCTTCTTTAGTTCTGACAGGCTGAGAAGTACAAGAGCTTTAAAAAACGAGCTTTGCTATTTTTGTATATAAGTGCGTATGGTGGGTATGTGCATTCCCCGGGAAGCTGCTCTGTCTCTGACACATACGACGCTGGGAAGCTTTTTTTTTTTTTTTTGAGCTTGCTCTCTACACAACCAAAAGCAAGGGACAAACACGGCAGCGATTCAGATAGCGCGAGCTAAAACCGCTGGAGCTGAGGCGATGCAAACACGTCATCTCCGGCGGCAAAGCTGAAACCATCCCCGTGCATCCAGACAACCCAGGGAAGAAACCCGTCCATCCTCCCACTCCAGCCTGGCCTCACTCGGAGCCAAAGGCCGCAGTCGGGCCGGGCCTCAGGCGCGCCGAGCGCTGCTGCACGGCCCCCTGGGCCGCGCGGGCTCCTCGCTCCTCCCCGCGCTGCGCCGCGCAGCGCCGCAGCTTCCCCGTTCCGGGCCGCGCGGCAGGATGGCGCCGGCGCTGCTCCACCGGCCGCTGCTCCGTGGGGTTTCAAGCTGCCCCTTTCAATAACTCGTGCTCAATCCGTGTAGCCGCGCACTTGCCCGGCTTCACCCTCTGCGGAGCTGGTAGCCGCTCTGTGCGTCTGCCGCGTGCGTCAGCCCCTCGTGTGGCAGATGGAGCCTTCGGAGCGGACGCTTCTCATTTTATAGCCGGTCTGCACCATCACTTGAAGCAAAAATGCTTCAAAGCTCTCTGGATGTCGATGTGTGCCGCCCACGTAACTGGAGGGAGCGCCTATGGTTGGATCCGAGCCACGCGCTTAGGCAGGAAATGGTCTGTGTGGTCTCATGCAGGTAGCTGTACCAGTTAGACAGGCTTCTCTCACACAAATGTGTAAAATCTAGTCATTCTGTATGAAAACTACGATCTAAACCCATAATTCTCACAATATCTCACAAGATTTTTCAGACAAACTGTAGTAATCTATTGGCTACTGTTACTAATCTTGCTTAGGTAGGCAATAACCTGAGAAATTGAACTGTCTGGCTGTACATGTAGCCAAAAGGGAAAAATACCTTGAAAAGCACTGCATTTGCTGGACCAGATCATGGAGGTGGCAGCTGCATCTGTTCTCTGAATCAGTCTAAAATTGGACTATTTTTTGTGCAGGAAAACCACCTTACAAAAATGGCTTGTTTTTCCTAACAACATCTGTTCTGTGTTTTTCATTAGAGGTGCAGTTGCCGACTGAGACATGATCTTGCAGAGCCTTTGGGGCTTCCTACCTGTCTGTACCTAATTGCATAGACTCCCTATTGATCTCCTCTCATAACTGTTCACATACGTGCAAGCTTGTATTTTTCTACAGCAATAAATACTTTACCACTGAGAGGAAATGCTGCTGCTTATTAGTGTTATTTAGGCCCTACGCTTAATACAACTAAGAGTAAGTGAACTGTATTTGAGCTAAAACAGCAAATTTTGACAAGGGGCATAACTAACCCTGCACTACCAGCCAGAAAGCAGTAGTTGCCTTTTAAAATAATTATCTATATTGGTATGTAAGGAAAAGGCTCTGTAAGTGCTCCAGATGAGTGTGCAGAAGCCACAAAGATGACCCCACCATCTGCGTGGAAAGCACAGCACAGTAGATTCTGCTCCTGCTCCCAGTTTGAGACAAAACAGTTTCAAAAAGGCTTTTTTTTTTTCTTTTTTAGACATTTACTGGGACTCCCGTATATTTAGCAGAGCTATTTCTCCTGCAACCTTTAAAGACAGGTGACTGTAGATAACAGATATGCTAGGTCCAGATACAGAGATTTTTTGATGTAATGGTAGAAATGAGGATGGTTCTGGTGTCAGAATTCAGCAGTCGGATGGATAAGTGGTGCAGAAGAGTGGTGCTGATAGCAAGGAGTATAGGTTGACCCTGCTGCAAGAAATAAGATTTCTAGGAAGTTCTCGAGAGAATTCAGATATTTAAATTCTGGATATTTAACAGCCAGTTTCCCATGAGGTTCCTCATGGCATTCTTCTCCAGGGGAAATGGGTTCTTCCTCACCTAGAGCTATGTCCTATGAGTCCTTGCTTTTTTTCTGTGCAAACTCTGGAGTTTCAGTCCATCTCCATGTCTTGTATGGAAGTTTAGGCTCAGACAGCTAAAGAAAATGTGATAAAAGTTTGATTTCTTTCAAATATTATTATAGCAGAAAAGAAGAATTGCCATCGTTTGGTACAGTTAAAAACACAGTCAGCTCAGTATAACTACACTGGGCAGTATTAAAGCAGTGTAGTCTGGATGCTTGGAAGATGTTTTCTACTCCTGCAAAAACTTGCTTAATTTCTAGATAGAACTACATAAACAGAAATCAGAGCTATTTCCCGAGGTCTACCAAAGAGGATTGCAAAGAAAAGGTAACTCGTAGATCTGGAAACCTTTATTTCTTTCTCCTCAGTTGTACTTGATAAAATGATGCTTTTAAAACTGTGCCACAATGACCTTGGCAAGAAATGCAGGCAGCTTTTAACATTTTATTCAAATTGAGAGTAACAGAAATAGACTGAAGAATCATCAGGGCCAGCGTCTTGTATTTGTGTTTGCTTCATCAGTTTGACAGCAAGATTTGTACCTGCCTGGAGCCTTTTGGCAGAACCAAAAGTTATTTCTAAAGGAGAAGGTGAAGTTTTCAGGGAGCTGTCCTGTCCCTTTTGTGCTGTGACACTGTTTTATGTCTTCATTTTCAGCTTCCTTGTGTTTCTGAAGTATCAGATTTATTATGGTTACCCTCTGCAGACTTACCTGGAATATCCTATCCTCATTGCACAAGGTAATGTTTTTAAGCCAGTTTTGGAACTAAAACAGGCCTCACACAACACATCAAGGCTCTGTGTGTGTGTATGGTTCATGTGAATCCACTGTTTGGTTCTAGCTTGGTGTGATTGGAGGAAAAATGAGCACCTCGAATGTCGTTGAATTCCTCCTCTTCATTTTATGAAAATAGATATTCAGGTGGAGGAGAAAGATCTAATCAATTTCCCCTGCCTCGCGCCTACAGTGGGGCTGCAGTGTAACCCAGTGAGTCCGCATGGGATAGAAATGTTATAAATGCTCCGTGCTGGGAAAAGCCCAACTTGGGTGCTTGCAGGTTACTGGACATCAGTCAAATCTGCGGGACAAAGCTGTAAGAAAGCAGCTTCCTCAGGCATGGTGCTCAGCAGAGTTACTGCCTTCTGCCTATGGCTGTGTTTGGGCCTTTTTCCTCCTTTCTGTAACCAGCAATCTTCTATTTATTTCAGATGTCGTTCTCTTCTTGTTTATTCTGCATTTCAGTGGAAACATGAAACAAGCGTTGCTCTACACAGTCACGTATCCTTTCAGATTTGGCAATATCTGTTTATGTAGCTGGTTTGATAGTTGTTTGCATAGCTATGTCATTATTTGTTTTGTAGAACCATTGTAAATTATATTCAGCCATCCCTGTACGTGCATTCTGCATCGACGTGCTGATTCCTTTTATCATAGCACGTAACTGCTTGGGGAGACCAACAACAGATGAGGAGGAGCGAGACCAACTCTTAGTTAACATCCTTACTAGAAAGGCAGGTTGGAAAGGACGACCCCTCTTGCGTTGTCTCCTACCCATGCAGATTACAGTTGCAGTGACAAAACACAGTAGCTGGGGTTTTTTTTGTTTTGTCTTGTTTTTTAAATAATAGATTTTGTGCTTAGATCTCAAGTCTTGACCTTTGGAGCGGGTCTTGAGAAACTCCACATGCTGTTCAGCCAATGTCAGTGTGAAGAATGGGAGCATTTACTGTTTAACCCAGTGCTTAATTTGTTTTATCCAGATTGCATGGGCTGTGTATAATGTTTCAGTAAGATTATTTCCAGATGTTAGAAAAAAACTAATTTCACAGCCAGTTTTGAGAGCTTTGGGTACCCTAAAATGTTCAGTGTTGTGAAACTTAACATTACTTAAGATTTGTAGGGGGGTGGTATATGCTGACACTGCAGAAGTGGATAATAGACCTGGCCATGGTAAGTGTGACTTGATTACTTGAAATTATGGCCGTGTGTGAAATCATTCTTTCTTAAAGTCTTTATTAGCAAGCAACTCCCCTTATATTTTTCTTTGAAAGAATTCATCATTTAGGTTAAGCTTTCAGAGCAACCAACCAGTTTTCAAGTGTAGCTGTTTCTCTCACTCCTGTGTGAAGCTTGAAAACACAGCACTTGCAGCACAGACTCCACAAAAAACCCACCCTGTGTATGTTCTGAGCTATAATTCTGTTAACTATAGCAGGTTGAGAGTGTGAAAATTGCTGGCATGACCTTGCACTGCATAGTGTTAAACCTAGCAGAAGTGTAAGATGTTGAAAAAAAAGAGATGCTTGTCTCCTTAGGCCAAATTCCATAATCCCCATTCTTTGACATGAGAGGAAAAGAAGAGAGTGTCAGTCAAAGTATTTGAAATGGAGAGTTTTAAATATTTCACAAGTTCTATTTTCCCTTTGGTCAGAGAATTTTGCAAGGAAAAATATCATCTGATAATATTGTATGAAGTGTATGTAGCATGAAAATTAGTTTTTGTCCTTTTTATGAGAAGAGAGAAAGTGAATTGAGATGAACTAGGGTTTCTCCTGGAAAAGATAAACAAATGGGGATAAAAGCTTCTAAGCCTGATATTGATCCTTACTCACAGGGAAAAGCCAGGCATGGCATAAAGTCCCATGTGGAGATCCTGTCTGCTCTCTACCCACTGCCTTTGCAAAATCTCCCTTAAAGGGGTGACAGGTTGACAGTTCTTTTCCCTTCCTTTTTTTTTTTTTTTTTTTCCCATCAACTGGACTAATTTTCCGCACATTCTTGTCAGTTTTCTCATTCTTCTGTTGTTTTGTTTGCCAGGCAGAATGGTAACAGACAGTGTGAATCAACCTTTCTGTTTAGACTGGATCAGTGTAATTTAATCTGACTTTTGTAGACAGTTTTATGTAGCAGGTGGGGGGGAGATTACTTTGCATCTCTTTTTATAGTTGCCTCTGTCAAACCTTTGCCAATGGTAGTAACTGTTATGCTCTCTGAACTTCTTTTCGGGTGTTTTCAGTCACTGGTTTCTGACAACTTTATTTTTTTGCCTCACAGTTCTCTAATAGGAAGCTGTAAAGCATGGGTGTTTTCTTCCGTTATAAATGAAAAAGCTGTTTCTAATTATTAATAAAGTGCATCCTAGCAGTTAACCATAAGCTGAAAACTCAGATAATACAATGGTGGAGACAGAGGCTCATTCTCTCTCTTTTATGCCTTGCAGAATCTCTGCACGCTGATCAGTGCTGCAAGTAAGTTTGCTCAGCTGCAGTGTCTCTGGCAGACCAAAGATTCCGGACAAGCGAGCGCCTTGACCTGGAGCATGTCTGCATATACCTGTGCAAGTAAGCTACTGGCAACCTGGGGCAAAGCACTGAGGTTTCCTTTTATCCAGCCTCTCCTGCTCCCAATGCCTGTGTCAACAGGTCTTTGCTAAACCATGGATAAAAATCTTGGCTAACGTAGTTTTCCATACTGACTGCTTAGCTGCTGCTAAACAGGGCAGTGGCCCTCGTGACAAAGGACACACAAAAGGCAGAGGTACTTGATGCCCTCTTCTCCACAGACCAGCCCTCAGAGATCTCAAGTCCCTGAGACCTGAGGGGAAGCCTGGAGCAATGAAGATTTACTCTCCATGGCAGAAGATCATGGGAGGTGGAAAGAAATATGCTGGAAGAAACTGGGCAAGCACAGGTGGGTGGGCCCTGACCAGATTCACCCATGAGTGCTAAGGGAGCTGGCTAATTTCATTGCAAGACCAGCCTCCATCATCTTTGGAAGGTCTTGGTAGTCAGGAGAGGTTTCTGAAGACTAGAAGAGAGAAAATATCACTACTATCTGCAAGAAGGGCAATAAGGAAGATCCAGGAAACTACAGGGTGGACAGCTTCACCTTGATCCCCATGAAAATGGGGGAATAAATAACCTGGATACCGTCTCTGGAAAAGTGAAGGCCAGGAAAGAGGTCAGGAGCAGTCAGCATGCATTTGTGAAGGGAAATTGTGCTTAACCAACCTGATAGCTTTCTATGATGAGTAGACTGGCTTGGTGAAGGAGAGGAGAGCAGTAGATGTATTTTTTTCTTGATTTTTAGTAAGCTTCTTGACACTGTCCCTCCCATAACATCCTCATAATCAAGCTGATAAACTACTTCCGTAATGCCTGTATAGACAAGCTGATGAACAACAGCCTAGATAGCAGTGAGGTAAACTGTAAATGAGCTGAACTGCCAGGCTCAAAGGGTTGTGATCAGTGGCACAAAGCCCATCTGGAAGCCAGTCAGTTCTCCAGGGTCAATACCAAATCCAGCAATGTTTAATACCTTTATTAGTGACCCAAATGATGAGACCAGATGCATTCACAGCACATTTGCAGATGATAGGAAAGTGTGAGGAGTGGCTGATTCACTGGAGGGCTGTGCTGCAGTGAATCAGTGTGTCTTTAGAGGGATCTGAGTATCCTGGAGAGATGAGCAGAGAGAAACCTTGTGAAGTTCAACAAAGAGAAGTGCCAAGTCCTGCACTTGGGGAATAACAACCCCATGCCTGGGAGCTGCCAGCTGGGAAGCAGTCTTGTACAGAAGGGCTGAGAGTTCTGGTGGACACCGTGTTGAACCAGCAACATGCCCTGGTGGCGAAGGTGACCAGTGGTGACGCTGCGTTCGGCAGAGCAGGTCCAGGGAGGTGATCCCTCCCCTCTGCTCAGCTCTGGTCGTGTCCAGTGCTTGGCTCACCAGTGCAATGAAGACATAGACGTGCTGCAGCAAGCCCAGCAAAGGGCCACAAAGATGATGAGGGACTGGTGCCTCTGTTATGAGGAGAGGCTGGGATTGTTCAGCCTGCAGTAAACACAGCTCAAAGAAGATCTTGATAAATACCTGGTAGGAGGCACTAAACAAGATGGAGCCAGACTCTTCTCAAGTGGTGCTCAGTGACAGGATGAGAGGTACCCAGCACAAACTGAAACACAGGAAATTCCTTCTGAGTATAAGACAGCAATTCACTGTGAGGGTGGCAGAACACTGGAACAGGCTGCCTGGAGAGCTTGTGGAGCCTCCATCCTTGGAGATACTCAAAACCTGATGGGGCAGAGTCCTGGGCAACCTGTTCTAGCCAGCCCTGCTTGAACAGGGAGTTGGACCAGCTCATCTCCAGGGGTTGCTTCCAACCACAACTCTTCTGTGAGACTAAGACACCACCCAGTCTCTTGAAATCAAGCTTTATCTTTGCATTAGCTCAATATTTTTCTTAGGTTCCTTTGACCATTATTGCATTTTCTCCAATAAAGATGAAAAAAATGGGGAGGCCTTTTTGAAGAAAAGATCTCATCATTCTAGAATTCAATAAAATTATCAGTGATCTATCATGAAAAGGTACTCTTTTTGTTTTTTTAGTTATGTGGACAATGATGATTCTACTAGAAAAGCATCTACTAACAAATACTAATACAAATGTCTAATGTTAAATGCCACATTTTATGACTGTGTGCTAATAATTTGCTCAACAGGGTGAGCATTTAAGAATGTTATTGAGAGCAGTAATTTGTGCCATTCATATACGTGTTTGGTTCATTGCCAGGTGGTCAGCATGAACACTTATACAGCTCTTCAGCAGAAGTGACATTGTGTACTCACAAAACATGTTTAAAACATTCTTAAATAAAGTGTATTGCTGTTGGATCTATTCTTCCGTGAAATAAATGGTTTTAAGTCAATAATTAGAAGTTAGACTGTGGCAGCTGAACAATAGTAATGATCTTTGTAAGCCCCAAATATGAACACGTAACTTTTAGATCTCTTTCGTTGTGTGGGAGCAGATTTCCCCTTACTTGCAGCAGCCTAACAACACGAATATGAACATTTACACTTTATGATGCTAAGTCATAACTGACTGTGGGTGCAGCCTGGTATCAACTGCTGAAGCAGGGACTGAACAGAAAGAGAGCAGTGAACACTCGCCACATCACACAGTTCGAATTTATATATGTATATATTATATATTATTATGATCTATTATACATCTATTTCACTATATCAGGACAAATATCCTCAATACAGCAGTTTGAGAGCTCAGACTCAGGTTAAAATACTGAAGGGTGTACATATTAAAATGAGTATGTTTATATATAAGGTATATTTTCATGCAGGATTATCCTCCATTGCAAAACAGTTACTTTGTAATATTTTAATATATAAGCATGTCATATCTAGTCTACTAATCACAATTCCTTCAATTTACAGCAAGAATACTTACAACTGTAATGACTACGAATGATCTTATAGGTGAGTACAGTGTGAAATTGTCTGCCTTGCTAAGACAGCAGCTTAGCAGTAGTTACTTTGTTATAAAGCAGTTTCTGTTCTCAGAACAAATTATGAAACAGGGTTTAATACAGTGAGGGAAGGAGTTACCGCTAAAAAAAGTAGCACAGGAGTACAAATGAGTAAAGCACCAGGTGAAAACCTGCCCAACCTCCCTTGTCATATGTTGATACAGCGGTTCTGGAGCCAATTTCTTTTCAAAATGAGAAAGCACTACAAGATTTACTTATAAAGAATTTATGGGGGGAAAGCGATAGAGCAGGCTAGTAGAAAACTCATCCCAAACTGACTTGAAACATTTAATTAGCAGATAAATAGCTTTGCTTTGTAATGAAATTAACAGCTTCTTACCATCCTATGAAAAAAGTGATCCTGACAAAACTGATGGAGCTAAGGAGTGCAGCAGATTTTTCTGTATCTGTCTGATCCAAAATTATGATTTAGTAGATGTAAATGATTTAGTCGACAGTAAAAAAATCACACTGCATTTTATCTGGTGGATCTTTGTTCTAGTTCAAGGCAGGTATTTCAGCAGATGCGTCATTTGAATGGATTTTTCTTCCTAAAGCAGCACAATACGGCCCTAGTTGTACAAGCGTTTAGGGTGGCTCTTTCACTGGAAAAAGAAATCCCCTTTTCAACAGCTCATTTCCGTTCCTGCGCCTGCTGCTTTTTCTGCACCAAAATATTGTATTCAGTTAACTAGAACACCAGAAAAATAGCAAAGCACACAGAGAAATCTAAATCTAGGTCAGTTATTGAGTCCAGTTCCCACACAGCTGCAGGCTGGCACTGATAAGAAAAAAGAGGCAGAGGTATCAAGGGGACAAAAGGGGAAAATGCTGCCTAAAAGGGTCATGGAGACTGAAACCTTTGAAAGTAAAGCTGGCCTAAAGCTGGTTAAAGCTGCGCTTTAAAATTTTATTAGAACATACTTTGGAACATGAAAGAGTTGACAACAAACACTAATTCAGAAGCATTAAAGGAAAATGATTCTCATCAACTTCTAAAACTCGACACTTCGGTAGTATCCATCTTGGTTACTAAGACTGGATATTAGACATATTTGTACTACAATTTGTACTTGCAGTCTCACAGGTAGAGATAATGTGTTTATTTTTTGTTAAATGCTGAAAGTTAATCAGGATAGAGAACAAATAGTACTTTTTACGGAGTTGTCAGATTTTCTCTGACAATATAAAATCTGACAGTATGAAGTATTTCCTGTAACCCTGAAATTGGAGCTTAACACTCGATATTATTGACTAATCCTTCTGTTATGAATAACCTATGTAAGTATAAAGGACATGAATTGCAACTCTAAATTTTACTTTGGGTGTAAATATAAATTCAAATGAGGCTTCTCAAACTTTGTGTATCAGAAGAATTAAAGATACTGGGGTGTACTGTTTTCAGCTGTCACCCAACAAATGCTAAATGCTGTTTTTCTGCTATGACTTCTCAATTGTTTCTTCCTTCTTAAACAAAATGTAAACAATGAAATTGCTCTAAGATTCTGGATCCTGGACATGGTAATTTAAATCAGATAGTTACAATGAATTGCAAAATGGCAAAAGTTTATGAAACAAATTGTATTCTCAAAATGACAGCTTTTTTTTTTCTTTTGCATTTATGCTTACATTTTTTTCCCCCCTTTTAGTTCTCATCCGTTTCATAACCATGCTCGTTCTCAATATCTGGGTCACAGCCACAATCCTGCACTACAGGAAAACTAAAAAGACTGACTAGAAGACACCCCCGAGCACACAACATAGTTACCATTAAAAAGAAAAAGGAATAACTGAGCTTGAACAACAAAAGAGGGTTTGAGGAAGCTCCCTCTCTTGAACTGGTCTGGTATTTATTCCTAAACATATTTAGTACAGTTATGCTTATTTTCTGATAGAAATAATTCTAATAAGATATTCCATTTAAGCAGCAAGTTTCACTGATACCACATTTTCTCTGGAATTTTTTACTAAATGAACAGGTTATTTTGTATTTAGATTTTTTTATATATATTTTCATTCTGTTTCAGTACTTTCTGGTTACATATAAGCAGTTTTCTTCAATTACACAAGAGCAATTTTAACTTATCTTTCTGTATCTGCTGTGTTTCAAAAAACAACAGTAGATGTTAGTTGTTCTCTTGCAAGCAACCCATTACTAGACATTAATTATCAGTATTTTAGGATAAAGAAAATCTGAATCAAGGCTCAATTCAGAATAAGGTTCTAAATGTGTTTTATTAAGTCACAGATCCACTTGGGATTGCAGCACTTACACAGACAGTTAAATAAGATAATTTACACAGCTGATACAGGATACCCACGGTCACTTTTTTCGATATACCCAGTTTTTATGAGGATAACAGCCAAAACTCAGCTACGACTTCTTCTTTTCCAACACTGCAACTTGAACTCTCAGACGAGTAGCAGAGACTAGAATGTATAGGAATGGATGAAACTAATGGGATAGAAACTGTGTCCAGGTCGAAGCTCCTGAACTGACACCCAGAGTCTCCAACTGCAGCCCGTGCTGCTGATGACCCGATAACCTGCAGTTTGACGCACCAAAGCAAACTTATCTCAGAAGATTTTTTTATTTTGGTGACATTATTCTGTGCTTTGTTGGTTTTTAATCTTTCTGTGCTGAGGAATGCAAAGACTCCACTTGAATTTTTGCTTAGGACTAATGCTAATTAGTTTGCACTAGGTATATTAAAAAGGGGAAAGGATATTCGTTAGTAACTATTAAAGGGGGATTTTGCTTTTGGAAGTCATAGACTTCCAAGCAGTAGCTACAGGCGGTAATCACAGGGTTTGCCCTCATTTCTCATCACTACATTCATCAAATGGAGAAAACAATCCTTTTCAGAAGAGATTTGCTGGTGTTACTGTGGATATGGCACTGCTATTACTGCTGATATGTTGGAACGAAGGCACCCTTGAAAGGAAGGGGAGGGCTCCACTGACTGCACTCGAGGCAGGTTTTCTTTCTCACATGCTAGAAATCCCTGGGCACTGGTGGCACGGGGGGATCCACGGAGCAGAGCCGCCTGCCAGGGCTCCCGCTGCCTCCGACCGAGGCCTCCGGAGCCGCTGCCTTGTGGTGGCGGGAAGGGGAGTCTGCGGACAGGGATCCCGGGCACCTGAAACTACGCGGAGCAAGTTAAAAAACGGGGATTTGTTTTCCCGGTACTCCAGTAACGTGTATAAATGCTCAGAGGCGTCTATGTTGGTTGAGAAACTATTTGTAAAGATTCCGTTACTGATTTTATTGTAACTGTGTAGAATATCTTAAGTGTCTTAAATACTTTGTAATATGATATATTTTTCAGGTGGTATTAGTAAAGGATATTCTTAATGATAAATTAGTGTCATTCTTACAGTGAATTTTCATTCAATTTATTTATTTATTACCATATATGGAGAGAAAACTGAATATTCGTCGCTGGTCATTAATGAGCAGCTTTAACCTTAATCCTTGAAGCATCATGTCATATATTAACCTGTACAATACTAAAGAGCTCTAACATATCTTAAAGGAAAAAAAAAAAAAAACACTTACTTCTGATCCACATCTTTCTTTGAATTAAACCCTCTTGATAGAGATCATCGTGCTAGAGAAATGCTTGCTTAAAGTCAAAACTCAGTCTGTTATGGATGTCTTTCATACTCCTGAGGGAAGCTGCAGTGAAATCCAGACATTCCATCATTCTCAGTGTGAAGATCAACACTTCAAGTTGGGTTTTCCTCCAGCAGAAAATACTGTAAATGCATTTTGAAAAGTCCTTCTCAGGTTATGTAACATATTTAGTAGAATAAATCAGCTTAAAAACCTGTGGCAAAAAAGAGACTGAGGAAAAGAAACAGACCTGGATAATTCACAAGATTAAAGTAAAATAAGTTTGTGGATTTGGAAAGCAGGACCATCAGTTCTCTTCCAAGCTTCATGAAAACAAAGCAGAAGGTGGTAGTAGCTCAGTTTATGTGCACTTGTTTTGCCAGAGAATAATTTATTTTACTTTTGTAAGGCAGAAATATGGTGAAGTCCTCCACAAACCTCAAACAGCCGACCCTGGGGTTTTATAATATATAGCCCATAGTCTTCTCAGTAGCCAGTTTAAAGATAACAGCTTTAGAAAGGATAGAAAAATAAAATTACAAAAAAAAAAAAAAAAAAAAAAAAAAAAAAAAAAAAAAAAAAAAAAAAAGCCTAGGACATGATTCTAGGGATAGCAGATCTAGGGCTGCCACTTTGAAAATGAGAATACAGACAGCAGGGGATGTGTGGTTTACTTTTCTAGAGAGTCTCTTCCTGAAATGCTCTCAATGAACAGAAAATCACACAAAAATGCAAAAACCAGCGCTAGGGAACACAGGGAGACCTACAGACCCTCCACGTGCCTAACGTTTGCACCGAGGCCCAGGCCCCTTAGAGACATGGCCAGACGTGCTGCTTTTTGTTACACTAATCCCAACATATCAGTGCTCTGAGCGTGCAGAGCTCCCCGTCCTGATCCCCGGCCTCTCGGGCTGGCCTGCAGCACGCACAGAGCTGCTCCCTCGCCTGGTTTTGCTGAAGTCAGCTATTAAAAGAGGGGGGAAACGGGGAGCGTCCCTTCTGGCGCTCAGAAGCCGGCTTGTAGAGCACCACGGCTCTTTGGACAACCAGCTTCATCTGCAATTAGCTAAAAGGTCTTAAAACTGACCCTCCAGTTGCAAACGGTCTCCATCCTATTTTCCATAGGAGGAAAAATTACTCTTCCACACAATCATTCTCCTTTCAGAGATGTAACTGTAAAAAAAAAAAAAAAAAGGAGTAGCACTTGGAACCCACATGAGGAACTATTGTAGATGAAAAGCTACGTGGGTTTGCAGAGGCACTTCCAGCAGGTATTTTCCATGGTGATGTATAACAATTATTTTCCTGCTATTTTTTTTAGGCTGATTTGTTCTCTTCCACTTTCCAACTATGATAAATAAGATTTTTATCTATCAGTGCAGGGGAAGAGGAAGCATTGCCTTCATCACTCATAATGGTATAAGCATGCAAGCAAGTTTGGAAAAGTGAAGAAATTGAAAATGGTTGAAAAAAATAAATTTGAAGATATTAAATTCTTGATGTGCACAGAATTTGTTGACTTTTAGTTAGAACTCTCTGAGACAAAAGGTCTTGGAGAACAACTGTGGATTCCTAAGGATCAAAATAATTATATCTCAAAGATCCTGCCAGCTACTCCCTTCTGTTGGATCGAACTGCAGTACCTCAGCAGAGGTCCTGGCAGACCTCAGGTGTTTCCTGCCTGCTGGCACGGACATAGGCTTCTTCAGGATGTCAGCTATTCCACCCTGACCTTGGAGGTGGTTGGGGATGAGTACCCTCCCTACCTAGGAGAAAATTCAATTTTTGGAGTAAGAGCTTTTTTACACTACAGACTATTTTTGATGAAATACCATTGCAAATACTCCAAGGACTGCCTTTTTTTTTTTTTTTTTTCAAGCTCCATTGTTGATCTCTTTTAAACTCTGTCAGTCATCCAAACAGTCAACTTCTACCTATTACCTGTTCACAGGAAAACAGTTCAGGCAGGATGCCTGTCATCTTGTTACACCTGGCAGGTATGCTTGAACCTAGATCAATGCAAAGTGACAAGTAAAACAAGCTTTGAGCAGTAACATGGCTCCACACTACGGAGTACCATTAACCACTGCACTGGAATTGCAAGTCTGTGCATATTAGTACTGTGGGGTGCACAGGCGCTCTGCACCTTTGAGTGTGGAGCTCTCATCGGCTGCACTGAGATGCTGCTCACGTGTCTCAGGCTACGCAAGAAGCCTGAACGGCAGAACAGGCCTCGGAAAATGCTTCCTCAATGCGCCTGTCCTGTGAATCTGTTTACACGATCTGCCTGATCAGAGAGTCAGAGCTCCACTGAAGCAGGAATTGAGCTCATGTAAATTATTCCTGTTACTGTAAAGAAATTATTGGCTTTCATCTTTGAGCAGCCGCTTGTATGTGCTTGCATGGAACTGGCTTTCAAGACGACAACTGGTCTTGACAGATATTAATTCATTTTTCCCTGAAATGCACTATCAGCATGATTTACAGTGCTTGTGGTCCCTCTGAGCTCCAGAATATCTTTCCATCTCAATGATGGTGGCGTTTCCTTTAAGGCTGTGGCCCAGTAAGGAACTGCCATCACGGTAGCCCTGAACGGTGCAGGAGCATAGAGGGGAGCTCCCTTCTGCACTGCTTGAGGGGACAAGTGGCATCTCAGGAGTGGCTGAAGTTTGTGTGAATCTCAGCTGGCCCCGATACACCAAGGGTGCACAACGGCACAGAGGTGCTGAAGCCACACGATCCATCAAGTAAAGGCGAGTTTTGAAATTGCAGTCACACCAGGACATGGCTGCAAGATTACATGAAAAACTGAGCAACACAGGTGAGCAAGCTCAGCCCCACACGCAAAAGCGTGCTCAGGCAATGGGCCTTCTGATTCCCAGACCTTTCAGACTTACGATAGTTATGATATTAAATATCTTAGATACCCGCAATAAAGATTCCAAAATATTCCACTGATTGGCGTGTTAAAGGCTGGCACATACCTTAGGTACCCTGCTAACACGGCAGTTTAGTGCTCAACTTGTAGGCGGGGGGAAAGCCCAAGCGGAAGACAGGGTGTTGGCAGCGATCGCACAGGCCTCACGTGGCTCTTGCTGGGCAGACACTGAGAGGCCAGAAGGCCAACGGAGGGAGCAGATGGTGGCAGTAACATCCCC